CGCCACGTCTGTGGACAGCGCTGTGACGTGGTGAGTGTGGCCCGCCACTAAATATGGTCATTGCTTCTTGTCAAGATCCATTGCTCGACAAAGTTTTCCAGAAGAGGCGAATGAACCAAATACTGGTCACCGGCTTATCTGGAATATCGCTGCTGCCTTGCAGTTCACGCGAGGCGCAAGGGAAGGGTAACCAGCCACAACCCTAGACACCCACCCCCGACCATACTGAAGATTTCGGAGGTATGGTCCGTAGAGGAAACACAAGTCCTCGGTTATGCGCGGGAAGGAGCGTTTATATCTGAAAAGCGAATCCACTGGCTTTCTGATTACGGCAAGAAAAAACAGGTGGATTTTCAGCCAGAAACCGAGGATTTTGTGCTGATCCACCTAGTATCGGGTGGACTCACTTACCTAGGTTGATCAAAAGCTTTATCAAAGGTCGTACTAACACATTTTCTATCGGCTGTTGGTAAGCTCCAGTCGACTGACGAACGTTTGACTAGGTCACTCGCCGACTGCACTCCAGATTCTACTGTTCCCCAGATAGTGACATCATCCGCGTACATAGCGATCTCTACGAGAATTAGTCTGAGAAGATCGTTTATCTATATCGGAAACAGGCTGGGATCCAGGACGGAACCCTGGAAGGCTCTAATGAGAACGAGGGACTCCGGAGAAACGGACATGCCTATTCAGACCGCGTAGGATCGGTTCAACAGAAAGCTAATGAGAACAGACAACAATTGACCAGTGGTGCCATGACTCCAGTTCGTACAGGAGAGGAATGTGCAGCACTCTGTCCAATACTTTAACAAAGTCGATAGAGATTGTGTTGGAAAATGACCTTATAGGCACGGGTTGTGCTGTCCATTAAGGTCAGCATATCAAAGATGCATGTCCTGTCTGTAAGGAAACTGTTGGGAAACATCTACCAACTCTTTGTTAGATGCCTCAGAATCCGCCGTTTGAGGCGTTCAAATATCTTACTGGGAATGCTGGTTAGGCCGATAGGCCTATAACTAGCTGGGTGTCGTTCACCTTCTTTGTAGATTGGGATGAAAACAGTTGTCAACACTGGTTTTCAAAGACTCCATAAAAAGCTTTATGGCATTCCCTCTAACCGGGTGTTTCGGACTTATATTCAAGGAATTTCGCCAACAAAACGCATAGTTAAACGAACGACTGACACAGGCCACTGCTCCTCTCGTAAGAACCACAGCGATAAATAAATGTCACCCAATGCGACATCCAGAACTAACAATCACCTACTATCTCTTATCTTTCCCTTTTCCTCAGATGTAGAGCGAATTTTATAACAGAAATCGGTCAACAGTTTATTCGTGGAAGCTATACTTCACGTTGCGAATTTACCTGAAGCCGGAGGCTTCAGCTGTTTGGTCCTCTAGGTAGCGGAGTGGTGTATGGAAACCGTTGTTCATTGACAGGTGATAGCCCTAGTGGTCTTATGAGCCCTTCGAGCGTGTTTCATACTTCCAATCGAATGCTGATAGTTGAAACTAGTACACCCTAGATCTAATTCTCACGTTTCTACGTAGGAGGTTACGAACCAAACTTTTCCGGCTCCTTAACCCAGCGATAGCTCCAGATAATAGCTCTCCACGAGAAGTTAGTTTGTAGAACTTTTTCAATCTATTTATGATGTCTCTGAAATTATGGTACTATTTTTCAATTATTGTTTCAGTTTTTGGCCTCCGGCATCCATTGCAACAGACCTCATTATTATGGAGCCTTTTCCCTCGTATCAAGGTAAGTCTTTTTAGTTCAGTGGTATTATTTCAGAAAACTAGAGAAACCCTTTGTCATACTGTAATAAACCAGTAAAGGAAGGGGATAAAACCCGTGATTTGTGTGAAGTTAGTCCGTCTTTTTTAAAATAAACAAAAATGCAATGGAAGTGGTCTCATCTCACGCCCGATTAATGTAAAAAGTAAGAAAATTTGATATACTGTAAAATGGGAAGTGCAGTATGTTCAGATGACCCGGGTTAGGAAGCTAGTCTTATTCACAGCTCGGGAAGCAAACCACAAAATACCACACAACTGATCAAACTGTTTTCAAAGTGTACAGGTTTTTAAGGACTAGCGGTTGCTCACGGTGCAAAATTATTCCAACTTAACACTTTATTTTGACCTTCATCATCGTCATGATTTGGGCCGGTGCCAATGAAATCGGACAAGGTGTCCTTGTTTTTCTAATCACATCAATCAGCACAGCTATCCAAGACAACGGAAGTCCCGCCGTTTTCAAACGGTGAAGCAAATGCCTGTCCTTTATTGTGGAAATATGTCATTAACTGATGTATATATATATATATATATCACACTTGTCTGAGGACAGACTGTGTGCCAAACAAATCATGGTACAATAATCTTTATAAAAAGAACAATGTTCCATGATTGGCTTGTGGGCTGAGTACTGCCAGGTTGCCCAGGCCAAGGCAGGTGAATTTTCTTGAGGAATCCACAACCGGAGCCTTCGGCTAGCCAAAGCCTGACCCGTAAGGCAGCGGGGCGGTGTGCGAGAACCGCAGTCCATTGGGAGCCGGTGTCCAGTTCATCGGATCATACGCCCTTCGGACGGGGTCAGACGTCCAAGGTGCCCAATCGAGCCGGTGACCACTGCCACAACCGAAAAGGTGTGGGTGTGGTTCGTACGTCTCCTCATGGTTGGTTTGGAATCAGGGTTTTTGGCCAACTCCCCTAGGTGAACTGCCAGTGGTCCACCAACCCGGCTATGGCCCCGGATATCGGCTTTTCGTCCTCTTATTTTGGTGGGAAAACACCTCCGCCGCGAGAAGGCAGTGAGTAGGGCTTCCTCAGCAGAGGCTATTTGAGACGCTTGGTCGTATGGGGGCATTTCGTGAGGTGCAAGGGTAGGGTGACCAGCCGCAACCCTAGGCACCCACCCCCAACCATACTGAGGCCTTGGGAGGCATGATGTATAAAAATAAATGAATTGTCGTACGCTTTCACTAAACATCATTGGTTGATATTTCTACATGATAATGTACTGTTGCTTCTAGATTCCCTTCATGAATGTTCCCTCACCCGGAGTGCTGTCTTTCTAAATCTCATCTGCTGTGCCTAATAAATTCGATTTAAATCGGACGGTCGTTTGCATTAAATTATAGGAGCAAATTACCCTCCCGGTCCATATCCTCCAAGTAGTGGATATATGGATCCTCATATGTCAGTTTACGTACCTCCCGCACCATGTGAAGTGACTTATGGTTCTAAACCATATGCCGGATATCGAGACAGCGGGTATTATCCTCCAGGAAGAACACAGCGCGACACTTTTCTCCCACCAATGGGCGATGGCTCACGCAGATCATCGTTGGGTGAACCGCTAAATGTAGACCCTCCCTACCGCGACCCTGGTTATGCAATGGAACCTCCATCAAATCGTCTCCCTTATTCATCTGAACCGGTTTTCTCAGCGGCAGATTATGGGCGAGTTCGTTCCAGTTCACAAATAGTGTATTCAAGCGGTCCGGTGCGCTTCCCCAATAGAGTGGGCCCGACGGCCAATTTCGGTTTTCGACCGAGACCTTCAGAGCCTACCGTCCGACCGGTTCGACCACCTAGATCTGTCGACTTGAAGCGACCACGAGCGACCGGATTTTCTGATGGTGGTGGTAAGTTTCGTTTATTTTCTGTCAACATTGTTTCCCCGAATTGAGTTCAACGACCTGTGGGTAATTCACTGTTTCGGTATGCGACTCGGAAAACACTCTTGCCATTATAACCAGAAGGATTAATTCCACCATTGTTCAAATGATTGTTTGCAGTTCAGGTAACTTTATACCATAAAGACCGACTGCTTGATGAGCTTCATCTCCCATGATATATATATATATTATTTCAAGAGAGAATGGAAGCGTACACTGATTTGTAAAATGTTTGTTGTACCGTTTCAATCCAAAACTAGGACTCGTCGTCAAACGTAAATGAAATGAGTTAAATAATGGGATTACCGTCTTTCCGTGAGCCTGTGTGCTGTTTGTAAGTCCATCAGTCCACCAATTATCACGGGTTTTTGCTAGTGTGACGTAATGTTTGTCTATCTCGACGTGTCGGTTGAACGAATTGACCGAGTGCAGAGCTTCGAGGATTAATCGTTCCCCCTTCTTCTTAGCTCGCACCACAACCTTTGCGTTATCGATTGCGATCTCGAGACCTGTCCATGCGCAGTGGTTCCAGATTTGTGACTTCGGGTCAGCGCGTCGGAGGGCAGGCTTGTGTTCGTGTAGGTGAGTGTGTAGTTGTTTGCCTGTCTCGCCTATGTAGTGTTGGTTGCAGCCNGCTGTTCGACTCGATCCCTGCCGTTGAAAAGGGGATGATCACACGGTTGCTGCCGGTTTATGGGCGATCTTGCTTCCCAACGGTCGCAATATTCATTCGGTGGCTTCTGACGTGCCGCGTATGTAGGGTAGCGTTATCCAAGTTCCTTGTTTTGTATATGTTGTTTGTTTCTTACCTCTGAGGCACGCTTTGATAAAACTCCTGGGATATGCGTTTGA